ATGACGGCCAGACTCAGGCCCACATACAGCATCACACCTGTGGTAGTTTGAGGAGAAGAACAAGCTTATTTTACACCGACACTCCCTGATTGATCATATGATATATATGATATTAATGTTATGTACTGGACTCTCAGGTATATGAGGCTCCTGATGGCATGCATACAGCACACTACACATATTTCATTTCTATAAATCTTGGACATTATAGCAGCAGGCTGGAAGCAGGGGGGAACAGCTAGCCTGGCTTTGCCCTAAGGCAACAACATCCACCTACAAACACCTCCAACTCTCATTAATTAACATGTTATAATTCAATTGTTGAATCCAAACAGAAACCAATATGTAAGCTCGGCTTCCCGGCAGCTGCTGTAGCTTCACGTTTAGCGTACAGACATGAGAGTGGTGTCCATCTTCTCATCTGACTTGTGTCAAGAAAGCAGGTGTATCTCTTAAATCATCAAACTATTTCTACACAGCTTCTGTGGCCACGTTGTCAGTGTGTACATCATTTCCTAGCTGACTCAGGACTATTATGACCACGACTGAAATGTTCCATGCTGTGAGAAATGTTTCGTCACCTTCCTCCCTGCATCAGTGTATTTGAGTACAGCCATTACTCACTCAGGTCCATCACACTGTAAACGCCACAAAGAGCCCATCTATTATGACAGCTTCTGTTTCACCTGCTTTCATTCCTCATGGTATTTTCTCACAGAGGTTTCTTTGATTGGTCTTTCTAGAACGTGAAAACTTGATGTACAAAGTCTGAAGTCCTCACTCAGCTGTGAGAGAGGGAAAAAACAAGGCTCAAGAAATAAATGATGCTGTTTGGAACAGATGAAGTGTTCATGCCATTTGTGTGGATGGATGAAAAATCTTATAAAGTTTACGTATATATAAACACACACAGACACACAGATACAACACACCACAGACAACACACACACAACAGCACACACACACACACACACACACACAACACACACACACACACAGACACACACACACACACTAAAGAAACCTAGGATCTGTGGTCATAGACTTTCATCTATTAAATACAGTTTGAAGATTCACCTTCAGTTGTTGTCTCAGGACGGGTCGGTGACTTCAGGGGAAACTGATGAAGATGTTGTTGTTGTTGCTGGTGTTGGTGTTGTTGTTTGGTTGTTGTTGGAGGTTGTTGGCACTGTGCTGAAAAAGGAAAAACATACTGATAGAAAGAAATCCTGATGGTGGAAAATGAGATGACCTTTGAACTAAGCGCTGCTGGAGAAAAACTGGCAAGAATGATTTGAAGGTACAAAGTAATATCTTTGATAATCAGTATCACTTTATCTTTCAAAACATTTTTGTCATTCTTAAGTAATAAATGTCAATTGGTCATTAAATTTAGATAAACATTAGTTTGTACATGTGTGGTCACAGTTTGCCATTTTGGTTTGCCAGTTATTTTACAGCAGGACTGTTGGTTCTGAAATGAGCATCTATCAGTTTTCACTATGATAAAAATACAAAGCGATGTGGTTGTAAGACTGAATATCAGCTTCTTTAAAACAGCAGCTGCCAGAACAATGATAAAAATATCTTTCACACTCCAGAGACATCGAGGACAATTTTCTCTCAGTTCAGTAGAAACTGTAATCAGGCAGCTCCTGCTCCTGATATAAAATTCTTCATCACAGTAACAATAAGTGTGTATGTGTGTGATTCATTAATATTCAAATAAACTGGTGTCTCACTCCATCAGTTACTTTACAGCAGATCTGTCTGTTTTAAACCAACATTAATCAATGTTCACTGTGATATAAAATATAAAGAATTCAATATATCAGCAGCTGCCAGTGAACTGTGACACTTCTCTTCAGACCTTCAAAGACAAGAAAGAAACATTTTTATGACTTTTAGTAGAAACTCACCATTTAGGACGTTGATTTCTAAATCCTCGTATAAAAAGTGAGATGTGCCCTCACGACACCTGTATCGTCCTGAGTCAGACTTGGTCAGCTGTGTGATGGTCACAAACACATTTCCATTTAAAGATCCTTCTTTATATTCCATGCTGTATCTGCCGCTCTGAGCTCTGTTATTAGTTGTTTCAATGAGAATGTCTTCTTCTTTACATTCGTCCTTACAGAAGACCATCTTTTGATTACTGTAAATGAAGGAGCATTTAATTGTGACGTCTCCTCCTTCAGTGCCTGAGTAGACAGGAGCAGCGCTTCCATCCTGCAGAGCTGTTGAACAGGTGAACAATCAATAGTTATCTCTACTTCCTGTAAGATGCTGCGGTCTGATCACAGTATTTCCTGCTTCACATTTAGACCCACAGTCACACTGGGAGCTGCCCAGATCAACCACAGTCTGACTGAGGATCACAGACCTGCACTGCTGAGTTTCCCCGTACAAATAAAGGTTTCAAAGAATAAAACGTGTAAAAAGTATCTGAGCCACTCTGGATCTTTTTACATGTTTTAATGTTGCTGTTACATTTTTTTCTTCCTCCTCCTTCCTTTCTTCTCTCTCTCTTTTCATACACCAAAGAGCCAGAATAAAGGAAACTGTTTGCATGACAATAATTAAACCCATGTAAATCTACTACTAAGGCTGTGATGTAAATCATTTAGTAGAATATTATCATCCAACAGAGAGGAAAACTTTCTGTAACTCATGGAAACACAAAAATACAGCACAGCACAACATACAGTATAGCACAGTAGTCACAGAGCACCATCATGTGAAATACTACACAAAAAAGCAAAAAAGAAATCATATATGACAGTAAATGGAACATTTTTGGATTTTAGATGAGTGGGTGAATAAAACCAGCCATCAGAATAGATTACCTTCGGCTGTGGGAAATTTATACAATCTTTCGCTTTATTCTGACATTTGAAAATTGTTCAAGAAAATAATAAGCAGATTAATCGATAATGATAATTGTTGATTGCAGCCCTGAAAGCAAACGTAAAAATCAAAAGCATAGAATGTTTTTAAAATGAAGAAAACTAAAACAAATGAAATCTGCAGACTAATAGCACAGAACAAATCTTGTTTCTGACCAATCATGACGTTGTTGTTAATGATACCTTAATTTTACTTGTGAAAAATGCTGAAAATACATGATGTAAACTGATGTACAGTTTATTTAGCAGAAGTTACTTGCTGTATTTTAGATGACATTTTTTAGTCTGTGCTGAAACAAAACTCACAAGCTCATATGTTTTTGTTCTGTTATTGTTTCTTCTGTCTGAACTGGCCACAAACAGATTCTTCAGTGTATTTTCAATAGAAGAAACAAACTCCACAGACGTGGTTCTGTGCAGACTCTAAGATAATCTGTTTTAGGCCAGACTTGAAAAGGTGTGAAACTATCCTTTAGAGCGACTCATGCCTGAGCAGCTGTGATTAAACATAATTATAAAATTATCAATAAAATTACCCAATAATGCAAAATGACAGGAATGCAAAGTGGATGTACTCACAGAGGAAGAAGCAGCAGATCAAAGTGAGACAGACTTTCATGTTGAGGCTCTGAGCGTTTACCGCTGCCTCTCTTCCTTCTTCACTGGTAAATAAGAAACTTCTCACTTCTCTAAATGATGAAGTCCCTCCTCCGAACACAACACACATATTATTACAATCATCACAATTAACACTCTGACACTGATACATGACTAATTAACAGTAATGACACCGTCAGGGAGCATGTGCGAAAACGGCAGTAAAGAAGTTTATCAACCTGATGTGGCTGTCAATGGCTCTCAAATGTTACAGGGATTCAAGCTCCATCACGTGATTGTGACAGCACACAATACTATAGCGACGTGGACCAGTACAAGGCCAGAGACAAGTAACAGAAAGTATACTTACAATCTCATGGACGCACAGGAGACAACCAGGTAACTAGCATGAAATAAGAGTACAGAGTTAGAGGTGGGCGATACACAAAATCTCTTCTCGATCCGATACCAAGTAATACAAGGCCAGACTTGCCAATATCGATATCAATACTTCTCCTCATTAAAGGCGGCTTGTGTATTTTCATGTAGGGGAGAGCAGTGTCGTGATTTATGAGGTAAATGCATCATCAATAGGCTAAATCTTCATTCATTTTAATGACCAGGAGCAGAACAAAAAGTGGCTTCATTCATTCAGGCAGCACTTTGTAAAACCAGTGCTAAATGGAAGACAATACTCGTCTTTCATACACGCTTCACTGCATTCATTTTTTTAAACTGATTTTTTTAATGCGATAGGGACAGTAAGAGAGAGACAGGAAAGAGGGGATGGCAGTGGCACGGGCTGGATTCAAACCTGGGCCACTGCGGTAAGGACTGAATTTAAATGGTGTGCGCTCCACCAGGTGGAGGCGGTCAAGTGCTGCCTTTATGTGTTGGAGCGGCGTAAGTGCACTGGTTCATGTTTGAGTGCGCGCGACATGACAACAGCGGTGGCAGCAGCGGGAGCGCTGACTCAGTGTCCGCGACAACAGAACATGGGCTGCACAGACACTTCTGCTCTGAAATGAGTCCAACAGAGAAGAGAGACTGAAACTGGTATCGATCTTCAAAAACGAGACGATAGTATCGATATTTTGGGATCAATCCACCCAGCCCGGTTCAGAGCCGATACTTTATACTGATGGTGTATGATTGGCGCCAAGAGTGGAGAGAACATTGTCATGGTCTGTTCATGTGAACACCATCCGCTGAAAAGAGAGGGGTGCCTGTAATGAAAACTATAGACGACCTTCTGAACAGTCTACATACTTTTGGCAATTACACTACATGAAGCAGCCTAACAGAGAACGAACATGAACAGCTTGTGGACACTTTAAATAGACCACCTTTGGATTGTTGGATTACAGTATGCTGCAGACAGTAGAGAAGCTGCACTACTACCACCAAGTGAATCCAACAGAGGTCAGCAGCGCTTCATTTTCCAGCCCTGCCACTGGGGACCAGAGCAGTGTTACTGATGAAGTGGAGACATGTGCCTTTTCAATTTCCCCCTGGGGACAAATAAAGTTTATTGAATTGAATTTTAAACATCGTCAAAAAAGGTAAAAAGGAGGACATTACAAATCAGTGACACGGCAGCAAACTGAAAAAAACACATTCTCAAACTGGACAAAAGTAGCTACGTGGCATAAAGAAAAGCTGAGTTTTCCCGCATTTGCATTTCTTAAGCTGCTGAGTTCTCAGGGCCGTCCAGGTCTGACTTCACTAAGGATCATGTGTGTTACGAGTGTGTGAGTGTGGAGTAGATTTGGTTCTGATCCCTGCTGGCTGGATTGAGGCTCTGGTAGGTGGCGTCTTCACCTGTGGAGACTGGACCACAGTTCTCATAGAGGGCAATCTGAAAAAAACAAAGCAGCAGATATTTGACAGAGAATAAAAACACATTTAAAACACAGTTAGGGACTGGAGATGGGTGGGTGTATCTCTTAAATCATCAAACTATTTTTACACAGCTTCTGTGGCCACGTTGTCAGTGTGTACATCATTTCCTAGCTGACTCAGGATGATTATGACCACGACTGAAATGTTCCATGCTGCGAGAATTGTTTCGTCACCTTCCTCCCTGCATCAGTGTATTTGAGTACAGCCATTACTCACTCAGGTCCATCACACTGTAAACGCCACAAAGAGCCCATCTATTATGACAGCTTCTGTTTCACCTGCTTTCATTCCTCATGGTATTTTCTCACAGAGGTTTCTTTGATTGGTCTTTCTAGAACGTGAAAACTTGATGATACATAAGTCTGAGTCCTCACTCAGCTGTGAAAGAGGAAAACACAAGGCTCAAGAAATAAATGATGCTGTTTGGAACAGATGAAGTGTTCATATTATAGGAGGGTGCATGTTTAAAATGATAAGATTTTTATTGAGTATCATAAGTAAATAAACAAATAGATTAAGGTAACCTGCACAATAGTACACTTTAATTAAATATTTTTCTTGTCATTTTCTTGCACTAAAGAGTCAGTAACTACAAATAGGACGAAGATGTGGAGTTTTACTCATAGAAAACACGACAACCAGACTTTGAAATTTAACATAGAAAAGCCACGTCCTCTGCTTTGGGACATTTTGTCATGATCGTATTTGAATCTTGTAATTGTAATTTTAGCTTTACAGTGGTCATCATAGTCAAGAGTGAGAGTGAACAGAGTTAATGAAAGTCACCTCCGTGTTTGTGCCGTCTAAATCTCCTCTGGCCTCCGAACCTGTGGAGCAGACAAAGTATGTGTCTCTGTTATAATGAGTAATTAGTAAAAGGTGCAGACGAGGATGGACGGTCGGTGTTGGTGAGTTCAAGCAACTGGAAAACAGCCAATGACAAGACAGCAGCTGGAGTCACACTCAGAAACAAAACCTAACCTTCCTGGGCTACTTCTTCCCTGGCTTATTCTGCATATCTAAAATAATTATTAATTAAAAAGAAAAAGAAAAAAAAGAAAATCCATCACCAGGATATAACCGAGCTCAGATTTTTCTGGAAGTTCCCACGTCTGACTGAACTGTTTAAACACTGATACATGTTTAAGCACTGTAACATGCCGGAAAATTGTTTTGTAGCTTACTTGAATTTGTGAAAGAAAAGAAAAGAAAAAGAAACATTTTTTCCTGTTGCGGGAAACATCAAAGACTTTGGTCTGATCGAGTAATTAAGAAATTCTGTTCAAGTACGAGCCATGAAGCTTCTTTGCTTCCATCACATGCAGCTACACACGTAAACTATTGTCTTATCTTGTTGAATAAGGAAATTCAAATTCATAAAATTCAGCTTCTGAAGCCAAACTCACAGAAGGGAGAAAAAACTGACAAGAGCCTTGTTTTTATGCTATAATGTCAACACTACCACACACTGTTGGAAGAGTGTACATTTTTGCCAGCTGATAAATCCTCCAAACAATCCAATCACTCCACAAGCTGCTAAGACTCCAGACCTAAGTTATGACTGGATAAAAGTCCAGGCGCGTAGGATGAGCCAAAAGTAAGCTCCTCACTCGGACCTTACATGATGTGTGAAAATTTCGTTTTTTGTGAGAAATGCGAAGTGTGAGTTACTGTGTTTCCTGTAGTCTTACCACATTGTTTGTTTTTCCTCTTGATGCAGATCATAATCAGAGCCAGTGACAGAAGGATAACCACAATGACCAGAGTGAGACACGCATACAGCGGCATACCTGTGAAGATGAACAAGTTTGTTTTACACACCTCTGGTCGATGAGAGGGTCCCCATTTAGTTTGTCCAATGCACATGCATGAGGAGGCACATGCATTCACACACTCACTCCTGCCAGTGCTTCCATAGTATTCAATAAACATGACTGTCAAAAATGGATGTTGTAAAAAGTCACTAAGAAAATCACGTTTGGAAATGTTTCGTGAGGAAGGAGACGCATTCAACACATTTGTCAGCCCTCGGGGATACGCACAGACACGCTTGTTTACAAGACTGAGAATTTGTTAGCACTGAAACCACAAGAGTACAGAACCAAGACCGTTTTCCCAGTGCAGCAGTGTGCATATCATTTTCCTCTTTTCTTGTCTGAAATCACTTCCTCATTCACTGCTTCCTGTACAACAGACACTCACTAGTTTGTAGTCTCCAGTAAAGTGATGTAGACAGATGTAGTTTCCTATGACTTTTACACTAACAAAATTTAATGCATTGCATTGTGGGATTGTTAGTAGAAAATAACGCTACTTTAGCAGTTCAACTGTGAAATTCTAAAGAGTACTAGATAACAGCATGAATTTCACACAGGAAGGCAACGCACTCATTACAAGTAACCATAAAATAAGACTTCAGCATTCTTCAATTGTCCAGGTGACTCGCTATTTTCAAAAGTAGAGTTCTTAAAGCATGCTCCAAACATCAAACATCATAATATAATCAAGACAGAATAAGACTCCTGACTGAGATATTAGGACATTAAATTCACAGGTGCATTGTTGTCTGTAAGTGAAATAAAAGATTTGATGATCGGGGCCAATTCCGTTATTTTCTCTCAGCTCTAAAGCCAGATGATTAGTCCTGAAAATGACAACTGTCAAAAACAACCGAATGTGCTCCACTGAAACACAGAGCAGACACCTGGATTGTGTTGGAGCCAAACAGGGATATGAACAACCAGGTTTCTTAGGTAGCATATTATATTAGCAACTAGCAACTAGCATTATCAGCAAGTGTGTGCATAAAGATACTGACAGAAGAACTGACAGATGATGGTGAGGACATGACACAGACTTGAACCTGACAGAAGATGCATAAGGTTAAATTTAAAATCAAATTCTTATAATTGTCATGATGTGTTTTAGTGAAAAGATGTTTCCCCTCAGGGTTCCAGTGGATGTCTGGCCTCTGGGACCTAAATGTACCTGAATCTGAGGAAGTTGTGGAGCTTCCTGTAGTGGAGGTTAACCTCTGTGTTGGTGGTGGCGTGGGTCTTTCTGTAGTGGAGGGGAACCTCTGCTGTCCTGGGATTTAGGAGAAAACTTTTAGTTAGAAACTTTTAGTGTGACTTAGGAGCACTCTGAGTGTTGAGATCAAAGGCTTTGTGAATATGAGCCCAGGGACTTTAAAACAGCAGCAGCTGCCAGACAATGATAAAAATATCTTTCACACCTCCAGAGACATCGAGGAACATTTTCTCTCAGTTCAGTAGAAACTCACCGTCTGAAACAAAGATCTCAAAGTCCCTGTGTGAAGATGAAGAAAAGGTTCTGCCCTGACGACACCTGTACCGTCCTGAGTCAGACGTGGTCAGCTGTGTGATGGTCACAAACAGAGAGACTCTTCCAGATCCTGTTAAATATGTGAAGCTGTATCTGCCTCTCTGAAGTGTGTCAGCATCTGTTTCAATAAGAATGTCGTCTCGTGTTCTACATTGGTTCTTACAGAAGAACTTCCATGTTCCAGTGGAAGAAAAGGAGCATTCCACTGTGACAGTTCCTCCAGTTCTTTTATGGAGCTCTTTTACACGGTTTCCATCCAGCAGTGCTGATGAAGAGACAAACATCAGTTACTATCTGTTCTTAAGATGATGCAGTCTGATCACAACTATTACAATTTCAAATCTGATCCACAGTCAGACTGGATTTCATTTGATTTCGTAGATTATGAGAAGTAGACGACTGACCTGATAATTAAGTATAATATATTTTGAAACTTAGTTTTCTTCTGAGGATGACATTTTCCTCCATTCATTGCCTCTTTACAATATTGAAAAAATCATATTATCATCAGTCTGAAATTGCTAGGCTCTTCCTAATATCCTGTATGAGTACGGCAGACAATTAACAAATAAAAACCAGCCGTCAAATCATGGAACAATAGAACATACTTGTGTAGTTGAGTATGAAAATACTGTGCAACAATCATGCTGCTGTCATCAGTCAGCTCCTACTCCTGATATAAAATTCTTCATCATCAAGTAACAATAAGTGTGTATGTGTGTGATTCATTAATATTCAAATAAAACCTAAGCGTCCACCTGTCTTCCACTCCATCAGTTACTTTACAGCAGATCTGTCTGTTTTAAACCAACATTAATCAATGTTCACTGTGATATAAAATATAAAGAATTCAATATATCAGCAGCTGCCAGTGAACTGTGACACTTCTCTTCAGACCTTCAAAGACAAGAAAGAAACATTTTTATGACTTTTAGTAGAAACTCACCGTCTGTGACGATGATTTCTAAATCCTCGTATAAAAAGTGAGATGTGCCCAGACGACACCTGTATCGTCCTGAGTCAGACTTGGTCAGCTGTGTGATGGTCACAAACAGATCTCCTCCTTTAGTATATCTTTTATATTCCATGCTGTATCTGCCGCTCCGAGCTCTGTTATTAGTTGTTTCAATGAGAATGTCTTCTTCTTTACATTGGTTCTTACAGAAGACCTTCGTTTGATCAAAGAGACCAAAGGAGCATTGAACTGTGACGTCTCCTCCTTCAGTGCCTGAGTAGACAAGAGCAGCGCTTCCATCCTGCAGAGCTGTTGAACAGGTGAACAATCAATAGTTATCTCTACTTCCTGTAAGATGCTGCGGTCTGATCACAGTATTTCCTGCTTCACATTTAGACCCACAGTCACACTGGGAGCTGCCCAGATCAACCACAGTCTGACTGAGGATCACAGACCTGCACTGCTGAGTTTCCCCGTACAAATAAAGGTTTCAATCAATTGTAAAAAGTAACCGATTCCCTCCAGATGATTTTACGTTTTATCCTTTTTTTCTTTTCCTTGTCCTCTTTTCCATTAAGAAATGTGACAGAGACAAAATATGAAAAAATACAGTCGAGTAGAACCTTTCTGAACTTGTCTGTTTTTCGACTTTAAAATGTTACAAATAAAAAGTCAAGGTTTCAGCTACAAACCACATAGGCTCAGTGTGACTTTCAACTCACTCAATTCCCATTTATCAGAACAAAGAACTTGAAGCAAGAATGAAAAACATCGTCTGATTTCAGCTTCTTAAATGCTGCTTTACTTTGTCACATATGATGGTATAGAATATATTTGAGTTCTGGACTAACAAATAAAAGTTAAAGATGAAAATAAATAAGTAATTTCTGCCCTTCATTTTCCTTACTGATGTAGAGTTTATTCAGAGGAAGTAACAAGCACTAGTAATGAACAATAAAGTAAAGGACATGTTCCCATTTTTTTTTCTTTCTGACAAGCCAATATGTTGACTGAGAGCTGCTGTTCTCTGTCATTGTCTCTGAACTGGCCACAAACAGGTCCCTTCTTAAATATGACAGGAATGCAAAGTGGATGTACTCACAGAGGAAGAAGCAGCAGATCAAAGTGTGAGAGACTTTCATGTTGAGGCTCTGATGGTTTACCGTGGCCTCTCTTCCTTCTTCATTGTCAAATAAGCATCTTCCACTTCTCTAAATGATGGAGTCCCTCCTTCAAACACAACACACACAGCTCAGAAGAATTGCTTTGTCATATATGATAGTTATCAGGAGCCTTTTTTTCCCCCCTTCTTTTGAGGACAATTTCTTTTTTTTAAGTTATTTTTTTGGGCAGTTTTTATTCGGATAGGGACAGTGACAGAGTGACAGGAAAGTCAGGGAGAGAGAGGGGATGACACACAGCAAAGGACCCGCCTCCAACCCATGGCCGCTGCCATAAGGCCTGAGCCAAAGTGGACCACCCACTACAAGTTGAGCCACCGGGACGCCCCCTTGAGAACAATTTCTAAAATAATCAAATAATTAATTTTAAACTATGTTACAGTCTTAATTTCAACCCATGTTCTGGCACAGAAAAGAAGACACAAAGCACTTTTCAAATTTGGCTTATTTCATTAGATACAGGGAAAAAAAAAACATACATACATACGTTTTGTTATCAGAAGAATAAAAAGTATCTTATCACCACGAGTACTGAAAAAATTCAAACGTCAATCCTCTAAACAGACCCAGGGATAAGATGACGTGGAATGAGGGGTTGGTTTTGAACAGCTGAGTCAAATTACCTACCTACTTAATAATAATGATCTATTCCTTCAAAACCAAAAGTTACAAGGTGCTTTACAAAATACAGTACCGTGCGATATGAGGTGCAAAAAGAGCAAGAAAATAGAAATAAAACTAAAATTTAAAAGAGCATCATCATAAAAACAGGAAGAACAAACAAAACTTTTTGAACATACACTATAAAAATATTACACAAATGCCAGTCTTAATTTACTCAACAGGTCACACTTGCTGTAGCTCTAAATATTATAATCTAACTTTGTCAACATATTTATGCATATAATGTATAACACTGGTAGGTCACTGAAGTTATTACGCATAAACATGAAAAACTACATTCAACGAAGTGATGCTCTTTTCCACACCATTATCAAATTTTACCACAGTCAGACCATCAGAGAACTGCGTCACCATAACAGCGCCAAGTGTGGTAAAACAACAGTCATCCTATTTGTTGATATTCAATGTACGAGACTTAATAAAGGACTAGATATGAATAAAGTGAATAAATATAAGTTCCTACTCTGACAAAGGAGTATTTTAAGTGGAACGTCATATTTCAGTGTAATTCTGAGGAGTTTTCTGTTACAAAAAGTCTTCATTCCACACACCATTAATTATGATTCTCTCAAAATTACAACTTTCTTTCTTCAAAATAACTTTTAGACAAAACAGTGAACACATTCTCAGATGCAGAAATTTAGTGCAGTACAACAACAAAACAAACTTGGGAAACTTGGACACTTTTTTCACTAGTTGGAGGAAGAAAAAGATTTGCCTCAGTTTGGTGGAAGTTTTAAGTTTATTTGTTCACTGTAGTTAAAACAAAGATAGATAAAAAGATAAAATTCTGGGATTACAAAAGAAAATTACAAGTTTCACAACAAACGTAAAAGTTATTGAACTTGAAACTAAAAATTAACCCCATGTTTTTTTAAACACTTAAATCTACTTAAAAATTAAATCATTCAACGTGATTGACTTGTTCATTATATACATAAAAATGATATAGATAAAAACATTACTTCTGATCCCTGCAAAGCAAAAACAAAATCAACATTTTATGTTAATGTAAGAGGAATATATCTGGTGTTACTGCATTCAGATGTCGGACTACTCCTCTGTGACCTTTGGTTGCTCGTGCTTGTGGAGGGTTTTCAGTCGATTGTTTCAAGATCTGGAAAAAGAACAAAATGGCAGTCGGGGTTAGAAGCCCAGAAATCTTCTACTCAAGTCAAAATCTCAACACAACAGTGACAACACTTTAGGATTTAAGACAATGTTGGAAAGAAAGAATGAAAACATCCCAGGAGATATGAGGTTTTTCCACACTCGCTCTCCTGAGTAACTAGTAAAAACTAAAAATATTCAAATATGAAATGTAGTGGAGGGAAAGTCTCCATAATGTAGTTACTGTTGTTTATCGGCAAATATAATAAATTTGTATAATATTTATACAAATTTTGGTCCTAGATTTTCTTGCACACTGATTTGATTTTCAATTGTAGGACCATTTAGCTAAGAATATAATGTGATGAGGCGCCTAACTATGACAGGTGTTGATTCTTTACCTTGTGTCATGTTGCTCGTGCCCCACGCTCTCATTCAGAACTGGTTGGTTGAGTAGATGCGTTAACCAGTTCTTCAGCAACATCAAAACACTCTTCCCACTGTTCACCACGGATTTTGTTCTCCATTTCCTTTGTCAACTTTTCCTTTGCACATTTCCTCAAAATCTGTTTCAGTACATTTTTCTCCTCTTTCAGAATCAGTTTGTAATACAAGTTTTTTCTTTCACAACTTGAATGTCTCCTCCATCCAAATGATGACAACAGGGCTGGCAGGCAAATGATGCCAAAGAGCAAAAAGGTTCCGATAACCTGCAAAAAAAAAAAACCCAAAACGGTTATATTATCACACCATCACTGTTTTCTTTCATTTCCTACAGGTTACAATGATGATATACAAGAAACACACTCACCCTGGACTCATTTTTCAGTTCAGCGATGATCACTCGGTCCTCGTCAGTGATCCTTCCCCTGTCTTTGCAGGCTAACTGTGCCTGTTGTTGAGAGTGATCGTTCATACAGCAAACGTACCAGTCTCCATCAATTAAAACACACACGACCCAAAGCAAACCGATGAAAGCTGCTTTGATAATGTGACGGAAGCAAGACCCCAAAACACTGCAGGTGTGAAGCCTGTCACTGCCTCCAAACGCAGATGAACACAGGTGTCTACAGACTCTCTGAAATGGCCTGTCTGTCCAGAGTATAAAGACAAATACTATAAAGACTGGCAGGACCAGGTACAAGTTGCAGTCAAAGTCTTGCGGTTTGCAAGTGCATTCAAAGTTCTTGCCGAGCAGGATAAAAATCGCAATCACTGCGATGTAGGTCCAGAATTTCCCACAAGAGAAACTTGCCCGTTCCCCCTCCATCTCTGAAGTGCAGTTGGCATCTGCTGACAACCTGCTTATACCCTCTGAACCTGCACCCACATGAAACCATGTATTTCCTGTTTTTTTTTTTTTTTTAAAAAAGGAAGTCTGCTGTGTGTTGGACATGCCCAGTATAAAGACTGAGGTATCTACATTTCAAACACTATATACAACCTCATTTGTTGGGTTTTGTTTGTTTTTTTCCTTAATCATTTGAAAAAGAAAACAAAAAAAAAACCAGAATATATCATAATAAAGTTTGATACGATAGGTTCAAGTTTTCTGATAAATTATGAAATTAATTTTGTGAAAGTTACCGTTTTGTTATATAGCTGTCCTACGGTCTCTACCTGCCATGGAGATAACATTAGCTAGCTGTTAATACTGTATTCAGTCTGTCTCTACCTACCCGGGCGCTAATGTGAGCTAACTGTTAATAGAGCTAATAGAGGTATGTCTCTAACTAACACAAACACTGTAAGCAGACCTATCGCCAGCGCAGCACGGTGCTGTTAAACCAGGAACACCTCGCCTACACCATTGTTTGAGAGTGAGCTGCACTCGCGGCTGCGCTCTTTAAGTTTTAAAAACACTGACCCAAGCATCCCACACGGAGGCTCCAACACTTGTAGGAGAACTAAGTGTCGGATGAGACGAGACGGATCCATGTTACCATTCTGCACGGCAGCTAACGGCTCACTTTTTTTTCCGTCTTGGTGGCCGGCGACCAGCTTAAAGCATGTGCAAAGCAGCCAAGCAACACACTTGTATGACAATGATATAAATACTTAAACTTTTGTCAATAAGTGTCTTCCTGTTGGGGAGCTATCATTAGCTTAGTTCAATCTGTCTCTATACCTGCCAAGGAGCTGTTTTAGTCAACCTGATGTTTTTTTGTCTAAACTAAACAGATAAATTAATAAAAATGTGAAACATGACCAAAGCTTACTGTGGAGAACGTAATGTGTTAGAATATAATTGTGGACGATCATGGGCCTGACCTTGTGGGAAGTTAATTTAATGGTGGATTGTAAATTGTACCCCAAAACACAGAAGACCACAGGCTGAAATGTCTGCACCCTCTTTGCACTGAATTCATTAGTTGGAACACTTTTGGTGGAGATGGTTGGCTTTTATAATGTGAAATGAAGTAATTGTTTACTGTCAGCCATTTTTTTCAGCCCCGAGGGACTGGGTTTTCCTGTTTCTGCTGGTATTTTTTCCTTCCTCTTTCTTTGCTCTGCTTCATTTTGCAGTGACCACAACTGCTCGCTTCAGCACAAATGTGTTCTCACGTTTAAGGATGTGAAGATCCATTAAGAAATCAGCTGGATGTCCTGTGGTTTTAAAATGTTTCAACAGAGAAACCTTGTGGATAGTCTGTCACTCAGATTGTTTTTTAAAACTGTATTTGCGCTATTAAAAGCATTATTTCCCCCTGTTTAAGTAAGAGTACGATGGCTATAGCTGGATATTTTAGGCAATATCAGAGCCTTTTTTTAACCAAATACCACAGGCAGAGCAGTGGTTCTAGTATTTTAAAAGAGAAATACAAATACAATGGAATCACTGTGTGACTCTAGTTTTTATACCTTGTGATAAATTTCATCCAGTTACCTTGAAATTTGAAAGGTCGTCAAGTTTGTGTAGTTTGTTACAGACTGTTGTGGTGTATCAGTTCATTTTACTGTTCCTCAAAGAAACAAGAACAGAGCCACTATGTGTCAATGTTTATTTCGGTTATCAGTGATTTTATTGCATGAGATTTGGTAGTTACTCCTAAAAGAGAAACATTAAATTCCATTGAAAACAACAAGAAAGTGTATACATCTCTGTAAATGTATAAATGTATAAATTAGCCTTCATACAAGTACTTGCAAACCTAAGTATTGGCTAGTCTCAGCCACAGTTCATCACATTCATACGTAATTACCCATTTGTTAAATCTTAAAATGAGTTTAAATTACCCAACGAAACTAAACTACAACGTAATGAGGCCTACAGACAAAGTCGCACTTGAGTTCCCTCTGTGTGTACTTTACTCACAGTGGTGAATGTGCTGCTAGAGCAAAGAAATCAATGTCTCTGTCTGAGGAAAATTTAAGTAACAGATTCATTTGAACAATGCTGACATCCTTTGATCTTATTGTATAAAACCCACGCAAAGTGTAACCAGGACAAACGCAAGTCGAGCTCCAAACACCCAGCTGTTATATAAACACTGTACAAATAAATACAATCAGCAGAAACATCCAAAACATGAATACAAAAAACAACAATTGTAACAAAAACAGCTGCTTTAAGGGAGTGCTGCACAAACATTAACAAAGAGCACAAGGCAAAAGATTGAATTTTTTTTTAAATCTCTAATGTAGCCTAATAAATTCTATAAATACAAATATTTATTTATTCATTTATTTTTGCTCAAACTTTTGCAACTTTTTGGTTCGTTTGCTTTGAAAAATCAGTGCCCTCCTTCTGTTTTGTAGTGCAAAGCAAATATTGGAGAGCGCCATATACAAAAAGAGATTCAAGAAACATTTAAGGGTTCATTTTTATGCTATAGCTCCGTTGTTGTAGTGAATTTTGACAACATGGCAAAAATGTTGGTGTTTCCCTGAGGAGCTCAATAACAAAAGCTTCATGAAACTTTACAGTTTCTCTGGATACTAGAGGGGTATTTAGAGGTTATTTTAGTTTTTTTTATGTAATCTGCTGCAAAGGATCACACAGGAACTTGGTCCCTGTTCGTCACGCATGGATTACTTAGTTTGATTTAATTGTTGTTCATTTGACAGAAGACTAGATTCTTTAGCTGATCCACAGCTGCTGAAACAACCATGTCTTATTTTCAGATACAAATGATGCCTTTGTATTATTGGCAGAAATGCAATCTAGTGATGAAACACACGAAAAAGAGTAAATGTGTATGTAAAGACAATAAAATAGGCTATACATAAGATAAACAGCAAATCCAAGGTAGGAGGAGAAAAAATATATATTCAACTAAATTTTTTTGAATTTGTAATAAAAACACTAAAATGTATGACATTTTGAATCCATAACTTCACAAGTAAAAAATTTACACAGCTGTAATGGATTTAGTTCGATCTGAGCAAGTTTCACAATTTATGTGTAAATTACATATGTAAGACTGATTACTGAATTCAGTGTTGATTTTTGATTTGATTTGATTTTTTTTTGTATTTTATAACATAGTTGGAATATGTATGGAATAGGTTATGTATTGAAAAGCTACAGTAAAGAGTGTTATCTCTTAACATACATCATATGATCAGCACTCGGCCATTCAGATTAAGAGCACCATTTCCCTTCATTCAACTTCATTCAACATTAGTAAATCAAACCTCTCCATGTGTGTTTAGGAGCCAGGAAATGGTGAGAATGAACAGAATCATTTCAGCCAGCTAACATCACGTTAGCTTGAAGTTAAACCACGATCAGAATGAGGTCCTGAAGCGAACCATTATTTTCAGAGTGTGTGACAGAGTTCAGTGTTTTAACGTCACCCTCACCTGTTCAAGAGGAAGTTCAAGTGTTTCATTTAAAAATGAAATTGAAATATAGAATTTACTGCTACAAAGTAATTCATAGCAAAATTTCAACCTGAAAATATCCCTGCTTCTCAACATGATCACACCTTGATTCAAAAGTTTTATGTATTTACTGAATGAGATGAAGCTTTTCTGATGAAGTGTTTTTCTTGTAGAAGCAAAGAGCAGTTGAGGGTGATGATTCTGCTGTGAACATTGATCTTATTCTGTCTTGAAAAACATAAAAAAATAAAAACTATCACATCCAACATTCACCTCCAGTCATAAATATCCATGAGAAATACCCGTAATCCAGAGAGGCCGTCTGCTGCTCTGCAGCTACACTCCGCTCATCTCCTTTATCCAGCTGCGGTACTTGGTGATTCGAGTGTAGACACCAGGTTTGTTCCTGCGAGCACAGCCGTCGCCCCAGCTCACCACACCAGCCAGGAAGACCCGCCCACCGGGGCCGGTGACGGACAGCGGACCACCGGAGTCACCCTGAGAGGGTCAGGGAGGAAAGTTACAGCAGAACAGTGAGCGAGTGTTTCGTTGAGTCATAAAGAGGGAGTGAAATAAAGGATGGTGACATTCACAGGCTGTAGAACAAGTGAGACTCAGGGTAAGATCTCAACACCTATATGCTCCGTTTTCTTGACATTTAAGGCATCAGTTTTGCTACGTTCTCTCAATGTGGGCAGAATGGCAAAAAAATAACAAAATCCCACAGTGTTCACACATTATAACAATAACTGTTAGCTATCAGGATATTCAGATCTCTGCACACTGGAACTCTCAATAGCAGGTAAATATGGCACAATCACGACTGAATTAAAGCCACTGGAGAATACTTCTAAAGTAGGGTGACCAGTCTTTGGTGACCCGTCCCCAGCTGGAGCTGTTGCTGGAAATGCTAAAATATTTTAATTAATTTTTCCCCTCATCAAGCTACACTCGGTACACCATAATGACAAAGAAATTACAAAAACAGAATTTTAGAAATTTTTGTCGACTGTACCTGACAGGCGTCCACGCCTCCTTTGAGGACTCCAGCACACAACATCCTGTCTGAGACCTCATCATTCATCAGATTCTTACACACCGTGCTGTTGATGATCCGAACCTCTGCCTTCTGCAGGATCGTCGCAGCGACGCCTAACAAAGCAGGCATAATTTCAAATCCGTGTTCGCAACTGATTCTGTTTAAATAGGTTTGAATGTCCACTGTACTTGCATAAAAATAAACAAAAAACATATTGAAACCCAAATTTAAAGTTAATTCTAGCTTGTGCTGGAGTAACGTAGTAAAGTGATGTCACCTGGCACCTTAGACCCTGCTGCTAAGAGAATCCCTGTTAGTCAGTACCCACTTTTCACCAATACATGTCAGGGATTAAACAGATCTGAGATTTAAGCATATTTTTAAGACCTTGACTGTATTGTTGTTTCTAATTGTTTAACTTTATATTTGCTCTATAAAACTTCTTTGGCTTGAGTTTTTAATACATCTCCATCACTGCAGTGTGCGTGTGACTTCTTCCAGATGTTATACAGTTTCTGTGAGTGTGCTCAGGCTATCGCTGCTCAAGCTAAAAACCTAAATGTTTTCTTTCGTCTTTTTTTCCCCAGACAAACTTAAAAACGTGAACGACATCACAGAAGCTTTCAGACAGTGAGTGTTCAGCAAATGAAGAACTCACCTCCCTCTCTGGTGGCTCCCCAGCCGGTGATCCACGCCTCTTGGCCTGCTGGGAAGTCATAGGTGGGGGAGGGCAGGCAGATGGGCCAGATGTTCTGGTTGAGGGTCACTTCGGTGTCCAGCTCCATCAGGGCGATGTCGTTGTTGTAGGTCAGAGGGTTGTAGTCGGGGTGGGCAATGATCCGCTTTATGTTCTTCCTCATCGTCCACTCGTTGGTCTGACTCTGCACGTGCAGACCCAATAAGGCCTCCCATCGGTCCGCCTGCGAGTTCCTGCATCAACACACAGTCATGAGGTCAGAGCTGACAGCTGCAGGAGAATGCAGTGGAATAAATTCAGGAATGTTTTTTAAGGCTCGTTCACTTCAGTTTGGTTTGATGAACTATTCAAACAGCTCTGATGGTTCATGGAGGAGCTCCTACTTGTTTGGTCCGTTGTCTTGGACGCAGTGAGCGGCGGTCAGCACCCAGTGGCGACTCAGCACCGACGCTCCGCACACGTGACCCGTGCCCTTAATGTGGAGGCTGACCTGCCAGGGCCACTCGCCCTCCCTTGACGCCTGACCGCCCACGATACGAGAACTCCGGTACGGCCTTGACCCGCACTCTGCAAACACACACACGTTAACACACAGACAAGAGACACACATGGAGACATACATGTACACAGATTACGACTGATGTCACACTGCACTGTTTGTGTACGTGTGTGTGTACGTGTGTGTGTGTGTGTGTGCGTGTGTGTGTGTGTGTGGGTGTGTGTGTGTGTGGGTGTAGGAAACATACGGCAGTTGTCCTCGTCAGAGCCGTCCTCGCAGTCCTGTTCTCCATCACACTCTGGGTTGAGTTTACTGATGCAGCGTCCACTCTTGCAGTGGAAGGTGAACTCTGAACACTGCTGCAGCACCAGAGCTGAATGACAGGAGACACAGTATGAGGACTGGCACTGAAAATGGATCCCACAGAATAAGAGCTACAGCAAGGAACTCAAAACTTCCTGTTAAGCTTTTGGAAATTGAAGTGATTTAATGAACCATTTTTGTTGCCAGCCCCAATCAAATGAAAGCACTGACATTATCAGTCAGTACGGAAAATTTTTCCTCTCTAATGCGTCAATGTAGACGTGAAGTCACTGCAGAACAAAAACTAAAATGTCTTCTTTGACCACACAAGCGTATCACTAGTTTATCATTAGTATTACTACTGTTACAACCATAGACCGTAAATGAAGATGAACACAGACTCCATGACAACACCCACAGGTTTCTGGTGCAATTTGAAGCTCAGTGTGAGCTGCTCTGCAATTGCCATCCTGGCAATGTCTGACTCCGCCCCTAACTCTTGGCTAATCTGTCTGTTGCTCAAAGAGGCCACGTCCTCAATTATACACCTCCATTAGCCGATTGACCACAGCTGCTCCACTCAAGCATCAAAATCATTTGCGGATTATTGGGCTGCTTGGCAACCAGCTAAGTAATAACATCCAACATATTCACCTCCTATCCTCATGCTAAAATTATTTGCCACTACTGCTCCTTCCACCACCTCCTTTTATGTGCTCTAGCTTTGTTGACTTTTCTACTGCTCAAATATTCATGTACGTATGTGTGTATTACGAGGGATCAGCTCTCAGCACAGTCCAGCTGAGCCTTTTCCAGATATTTGCTTAACCAGTTTTGCCTCTTACACTTTTCACATTTGGACTCATCAGATCCATCAGAGCAGTCGTCTTCTCCGTTACACTTCAACTTCTCGGGGACACAGCGGCCATTTCTGCATGAAAACTCTCCTGCTTTACATTTTACTGTGAAGGAAAAGAAACGCCATCAGCAGTGAGATCTTCAACCGTTTATAGCTTGAACTTCAGTGTGAAAGTATACAATAAGTTTTAGTTTATAATTTTTATGTCATTTTATCCACTAAACCCTCAGTGCACATGAAAGTCTTTAAGTCTGGAGTTTAACTCAACAGTTGTATTTATTTCAAAGTTCACTTGAACCCACCACAGTTTTCTTCATCTGTGTTGTCTCCGCAGTCGTCAGCCCCGTCACACTCCCAGAATTTTGGTTTACAGCGTCCATTTTTACACTTCATCTGAGACGCATCGCATGCTGACACACAGAAAAATCATGTGTTAGTTTCTCTCACTTTCTGACTTCCCTCATCTGTCTGTGGCTCTCAGCCCTGAGCCAACTGGTTCCTACTGAAGATGTAAAAAACACCTCACAAATATATTGTTTCATTTTACAAAAGCTCAGTAATTTCCTAAAACAGCTGCTTATTGTAGTTTTTTTAATCAAATAAACAGGAGGAAATTGTTCATTTTTCAGGGACTATTTTCAGCGGTGGATTAATCCACGTTTGGTGCTATAGCTGGAGACCTGGAGTTAAGATATCTTGTTAATAAGAATTATTTTTGTACTTTATTAAAACAACATATATCCACAGATGTTGTATGTTTTGGGTTTGATCGGTCAGGGTTTGGACTCACTGCAGTTGTCCTCGTCAGTACCATCTCCACAGTCGTTCCATCCATCACACTGCAGAGTCTTGTTGATGCACAGGTTGTTGGTGCACTGGAACCTTCCTGGACAAGCTGATTAACAACATCAAACAGTCACACAACGAACGCAAAAAGCAGTGCAGCAGGTGAATCAATCTAAAAAACTGGAGGCGTGCTGGAGAATGTGTAGCTGCTGGGTCTTACGGTTGGTCGGGACAAAGGCTTCATACTCGGCGGTGAAACCCTGGTCAACGTAGGACGAGTCTGAGTTAAATTTGATGGTCATGCTGTTGCTTAGGCTGGTGATCACTGTGCTTTTTAACTTCCTGCCACACAGTCTACAACACAAAGAGACAGGAAGGTGATGCTGTTGTGCAGAGTGGTTCTGTTGATCAATACAGGATAATACAAATATTTAATGCAGCATCGATGAGGAACCAGTGATGTAGACAAGCATCCAGACCTCCAGTCTCAAGTCATCAAAGATTACAAATGTAAAATCACAGTCATGGTCAGGTGAGATCTTCACTTTCTGAAGTGTGTTCTGCTCTTGTTTCACTAGTAAAACAAGGCTGTAAAATCAGCCCAAACTTGCTGCTGTTCCTAATAGCAACACACTTTAGGTTACCTGGTCTTGGCTTGGAAATTGTTGGTCTTGACTTTGGACGTCCCAGCCAAGACTTGAGACTTGCAAAACAATGATTTTGCCCAATCTTAAAACAACGACTCATTAAAGTCACGTCCATGTCATTGAGGCCAAGAACAAGTCATTGACATCATGTCCCAGTCTTCTCATTCAGGTCTGTCATCGCAGTCTTGTCCAAGTCACCACGGTCACATGTGAATTAACAGCTGTGTCTAAGCCACGTGTGGTATAGTCTCAAAATCCAACAATTCAAGTCCAAGTCACAGAAATTATATTCAAGATTCTCAAGTCCTAAGAGCTGATGAACAAATCTAAGCCACAAGATCATTTTCCACTTGGACAGGAACATGAGTGAGTGTGAGACAATGACCAGATAGAGATGATAGAGAATTATTTGTAGGAAGTTGTTCAAGAAACCAAAGAGGGAAAAAAACCTTTGATTGTTGACGGCAACGTAATCATTGGGACACTGGTCACTTTGATTTCCCAGGGAGAACTTGTTGAACTGAACCTTCACAAACTTTTCCTCCGGGACCTGAAAAAGAATCAAAAAAATAAATCACCTGGAAAATGAAGACATTAAAGACATTGAGCGGACACCAGCTGGTCCGCTCACCAGGGACGAAATGATGAACTTCTTCTGAACATGTTTCTATGATTCCTGACACTGAATATTCTCTAGATATCTTTAGTAAATAGTTTTCTTTGTATTTTTCAATAGGCCCCTCTTCCAAGATTTATTTTAGGGCGTTCTATCCAGCTCCAGACGGTTGTGCATAAGTAGAAATATGAATATGTACATGTATATATACACTTTCTAGTTCCTTCTTTCATACAACCTGATTTTTATGATGTTGCATGAATCTCTCGACATATTTATGTTATGTTTTTATGAAGTATGTTTTTATTAACTCAGCTATTCAATTTGTCACTATATGGAGGATCCTATCTTTCATGTATTTAATTGTGAACTATTACATGGTGAATTTATATCAGTTTATGGACATTCATCCTCCCCAGAAGATGAATCCTAATCATTTTGGTAACCTCCTGACCACTTCTTTAGTACCGATATCAGGCCAAAATAGACATTAATATATAAGAAATATGAAAATGTAATGGTTGGATTGTCATGAAATGTCATCATCACATTCCTGTTCTGCAGAGCATAAAAACCTTTAAATTTTAATGACCCCATGACATTTCTTCAAACACTAACCTGAGCACAAACTATACTTTTAGCTACACTACTGGTAATAAAGAATAATATGTTGTTTGTTCTTCCTTGCAGTGTACTGACTACTGCAGCCTTTAGAGGGTGCTAGTAAGCGGTTCTCATTAGAACAATAACTTGGACTTACCTTGATGTTCCAGACACACGTGGTCTGAGGTGGATAGTTGGAGGGGAAGAAAGGTGAAGACACAGAGCCTTTTTCTGCAGTCAGCGTACCTCCACACTCTGGACAGCAAAACACACAGTTCAACACGTTAGACATTATATCCTCCACAGGGAGGTCAGGGGTCAGAGATTACACTGAAATAATGTGAAGTCGGGCTAATGACATTAAATATTGTAAAACAACTGATACAAAAATCTCAAATTTTACTTTGAAATTTTCTCAGAAACCAGCGAACACGTCTGAAATGATTATACCTGCCTCAGAGAAAAATGAACTCATTTCAAGAGTCTGTTATCTACATTATATTACATCACATTATATCATATTAAATTATATAGATCCTTACATACCAGCATCAACATAATTAAATGTGACACAAGACAATCCACAAAAGCTTCTTCACATTTTCATACTTTTTTCTCCTTAATGGGGAACAGGTTCTGTTCTGCTCTGATTACTGTTACTACAGTGTGTTTTCCTGTCGTACTTTGTTCAGTCAGAGGAATCTGGGAGTAGTTGGCTCTGAAGCCGGGGAAGTGTTTCTCCTCACTGGTGACCAGAGTCAACAACATGACGTTCCCAGAGGACAAGAAGGAGAGGGAGCCATGAGGGTATCCACACTGTCTGAAGAGGAGAGGATACAAGGACCGGGGTTTATTTCAGCCAATAACGAACATATAACACAGAAACGCCAGATATCTGTGCAGTTAGTAAGTTAGTCCACGAGGTGGCGCTGACAGATTTATGGCAATCCATGGCATTAATGTCATCAGGTAGTGACTACGCAGGGCTGGTTGGTTAGCTACTGTAGCTAGCAAGCTAACCAGTGACATGCTAACACTAACCAGCCACAGCAGCTCTCCAGGCTAGTTGGTTTGCTGATTGAAAGTGAGCAAGCTTGTTTAAAAGTTAATCAAAGTAAGTAAACGTAAAAGTTGGTCTCACTCTGTCAGAGCGCGGTTCTCGATCGGAGCCAGGGAGTCATAGATTTTGATGAAGTCTTGCTGACAGTCGTCCTCCAGGATCAGGGTGTGGAAGTCCAGCCGGACCCGATGGCCGGGGTCGGCCCGAAGCCTCCACTGCAGGTAGACGTTTGGTTGGTACGAAGAGTCTGGAAACCCCGGAGACTGGACGATTCCCGCTTCCTTGACGTGGATGTTGAAGGACTCTCTCTCTGAAAATATAAAAGTCTGGCTATAAAACATAAATCCCACTAAAAACCTGACACCTCATCTAAAATATAACTCACATCAACAATTAAGACAACAGGAGACCTCTGAAAGGATTCTGACTCACAGAATTTTTATTTTACACACTGTTGTACTTTCAAAATATTTTTCAATAATTTGTTTAACATGAATTGAGTTGTTTTATTTAATTGTTGGAGCCTGTTTTGAGACACATTGTGTGTGAAATTATTATATAAATATATTCGTTTTCAATAAAACTTAAAAGCTGAAAAGAACTTGAAAATAAAAACTCTACAAAATTTCCACAAATAAATATTAGGAGTTCTTACCAAAAGAGGATCTTGACATGCGTGGATCTATAACTGTGAAAAGAAAGATAAACATAATTTTGCATAGTCAGCATTTTGACACTCTGACAGTTTGTACAGATGGTTAATGATAAGCCTAAAGCCTGACATAAAAATCTAAACCAGCCTGCTGTTTTTTATTCTGGCTGCTCTCTTTGCTACAGTGCTGCACAAAAGGAAAAATGACAGTGAAAACTCAACCTCTCACTGACGCTAATCAAAACAATCTGAAAGGAACTCCTCAGTCAGAGAGCAGAGGAATTCAGCAGTTTAGCACAGTGTTGACCTTGTAAAGCAGAGGTATTGCTGCCTCATGTCAGAGAGGTGTCAAACTGGTTTTGAAGACAGGATGTGCTCACATCGTCACAACAAATAATCACAGTAGTTTGAAAACATCTAGTCTGTCTCACCGTTTCATCAGCAGGTCTTGGATTTAATTCTTCCATACAAATAAAAAAAAAACAAAAAAAAAAAAGAAAAAAAAAAAACAAGGGTTTGTTGGCAAAAAGACGAGTGTCACGGATCACTGAGCCAACAGGCCTGAGTGTAGTGACAGAGCAGATGATATCATTATATACAGCATGCTCCAGTATATATATTTATGACAACAATTTCAGATATGAGTAAAAGATGAATACAGAGAAATCCATCTGTGTAAACTGTCTGTTAATGAAGGCAGGCAAGTAGGTTTTGTCACCATGATATTGCCCTCGCTGGGCAATGTTAGGAAACATGGGGGTTCTCATGGTCAGAACGTCAACATGTTGACAGGCGTCACAGCTGCTGTGATTTTGAATCCTAGAGAACTCAGATTTCTAGCCATGTTTATGTACTTAGAATGAGCTGTCTCTTTTTTCTCCTCTAATCTGATCTGGCTGACATAACAGTTATTACCAACATGATCATTTGACTGTATTCCTGCTGTTTCCATGTCGTCATGAAGTAGATGAGTTCATGTTTTACATGCTGTGTGGATGATCTCACACTTTTTTTTATCTTTTAAAATCTCTTTTCTTTGTTACTCAGTATGCATCCTCTTCCTTTGTGCTGTGACTCGCCTGCCCTCTGCTGGTGACTGAAAATATTTCAGTTCAAAGCTTCACCTCCTAAGCTCATATTTAGCTTCAGGAACCCGTCCACAAAGCAGAGAACAGAGGAAACATGAGCAGAACCGGAGAGAGTAGATGCATGTTCAGTTGTGGGTCTTAAAGTTCCTGCAGTGAAAACGAAGCTTCTGACTGTGGGTTTGTGCAGAAGTGAAACTTTATTTTTCCCAGAGAGAGAAACAGTTTCCTACTCTTGAACTTCTTGATCGTCCAAACTGTGAAAACTAAAGGCTTTGTTCTAAATTTTTGTTTTCAATATTCTCTTTTTGTTTTGTACTAACTCAGACAAACTAATCTTGATACTGTATTTGGAAAGGCGAACCTGTCCCATTTTCTAACTAAAGTTTATGTTTGTACTGAGCTCTCAGACCTCGTGAGATGACACTGTTGACGTTCAGGGCGTCCGTGGGTCTCAGCATCACTCGTCCATGTCGGCCCTGCTGACTTCCTTCCGGCGGATCCAGAGACTCGATGGCTTCGTCCAGCGATGTCTGCTGGGGGATGGGCACGTCGAACTCTGACTGGTAATACGCCACGATGCTGCCACTGCCACCGTCACTGCTGCCTTCACCCTCACTACAAAATGACAAACAACCAGATCTATGAGTGCAAAATCCTCTTCTTCTCATAAAGACTGGAAGCAAGGGGAAACAGCTAGCCTTACGCTATCTCTACAGCTCTCTGATCAATGTTTTATAAAAGTATGTCCTAGAAAGTGTTAAATTAAAAGGTCCATATTTTCCTCATTTTATTTGAAGTGTTGATCCATAAGAAGATACATTTGTTGTTTTAAGAACCAAAAACCATCTCAGTGTAGTTTTACATCTTCTCTTTCAGGCTTCTCTCTGGAGCTCAGTAACAACAGGTCAGTCAGCCAATCAGAAGAGAGGAGGCTCTGATCCTCTCTTCTGATTGGCTGGCTATTTTCTGAGTGATCCAATAAAATTATAGCAGATTTCAGGTAAACACTGATGGATTGAGAAACCCAATCCTGCAAGGTTGGCTTGTGGGTCCCGGTGGGCGGGGCTTGGGACATGGCTGAGAGCAGTGACTGCTTTGTTGTGACATCACAAAGTTATAAAAGTCCTGACAGCTCATTTCAAGGCTCAGTTTCTGAATACAGACTGTGTGCATTTCTCTGTGGTCTGAGCGCTTTGATACTTTCACAGTATTAATACAGAACCTAGACCTGCTTTATAATCAAAAAAGACATGGATCATCATGGAACATCTACATTTATACTATCAGGGACCTTCATCAAGTTTCTACATCATTGAGAAAGTCTGCAGCTGTAATACGACTCGTACCTGAAGGCCTGGACCGTGGAGCCTTTAAAGTATCTGGCCAGCACAGAGTTTTTAGAGTAAATCAGTTTCAGCTGAAAGAGACAAAGGTCACATATCATCATCATATCAGTCTAATGTCATCACAGTCACATCAACAAATACAGAACAGAGGAAGCTACAGAGGAGAAGTGATCAGAGCCACCATGAATATCACAGCTCAGAGTGGAGCATGTGACGGAGCTGGGCTGCGCTCGAAAAGTCTTTTTTTTTTCCTTCTTAGGAAGGTTCCTAACGGAGTGAAATGACCTGAAGTATATGAGCAGCAGCCATGATGAGAGCTGGTCCAATTCTCTAAATGGTGAGGAAAGGAGATTCAATGCTTCCTGTCTTATCTCCTTTAGCATAAGAAACACTGGACCTTCCTTTACGAAAGGAAAGGAGATATCTTGCCACAGTAACATTTAAAGTCATGCACCGTAGTAATGTCACCCTGCAAGACCCACATAAATGTAGAAACAATGTTTGCCATCGGGGAAAAGTGGTTAGAAAGGAGATTATTTTGACTTTTCGACCGCAGCACTTGTGTGAAGAACTCCCATGATGCTTTGGGACCCTGTGAAGTCTCACCTGCTGGCTGACCAGACTGGCCAGGTTAGTAAACTGAGGACTATTGGGATCTTCGTGTGCGAGCAGGAAGGGCTGGTTATTGATTCCCATCGAGCCAATGTAAACTCTCTTCACTCTGACGTCATTACGCACTGACGGAGAGAGAGCGGGAGAGATCAACACAAAGATTACAGTCCGGATATCAGTCCTTCACTAATAACCAAGAAATTAAAATGGTATCCTCCTTGTTAAACGTCACCTGTGGAGCTTCTTATATAAAAAAAGAAAAAAGAAAACCAGTTCATATTCAGTGTTATTCATGAAAGCTCTTTGCACTTTGGTGCATGCCTGTTTGTGCTGCAGCTGCAAGTAAAAACAACTATAATTCTACCCATTTTACTGATAAAAACACGTCACTGATCAATTCAGAAAGTAACTGACACACCATCAGTGATGAGAATAACCACTGGCTGCAGATGTACTCTAACTGGTTGATGAATAGACACTGAAGTATGTGAACAATGCAGTGAAGTTTGTACTTCATGCTTCAGTAGATCAAGTTGATTGAGTCTTGCTCAACCTACTTCACTGTTTTTTTTCCTTAGGAGAAGAAACCTCCCCTGTCTCTGACATCACATGTCCTAATGATAATTTATGAGCTGAAGCTAAAGGTCAGCCCTCATCAACCTCAGATTATTTCATTTCCAGGCCAGTGCATTGGTCCAGAGACAAAACTATGAAAACATATCATCGCCCTCATAGTTTCTGACTGGCTTTTTGGCTGCCGATCAACACAATCAAAAGCAGCAGCAGCAATGCACAGCTGATGTAGGATATTAAGGTAGGACACTGTAAAACACTGTTTCAAAGATCAGTGTCAAATCTGAACACACAGATATGAAACACACATTTTAGATCCAGTGCAACTTCTGCTTCCCAAGGACATTATTATCTCTAATATCCATTTCAAATAAACGTCCATAAACCTGCTCAGACATTAAAGAAAAAAGGTGCTCTTTATAACTGCAGAACTTCATTCAGAATGATCATGTTTTTAGGTTTTCCTCAGTATCACAGTGATCCAGTGAGAGTTGTCTGTATATTTATGGGCACAGAGCAAAGAGGAGCTGCTAAAAGCAAATTTGGCACATGGCTCATGTTGTAGCTCACAGCAAAACTCACTGAATCCATGGCAACTAAACTTTAAATCTGTTCATATACGTCAAGACTTTAAATGTTTATTTACCCACAAGAAACAAACATTTAAATATACTGATATCTAAGCTCAGATTCGATATATACAGTATACTGGATAGACAAAAAAAAGTTGTGCCACTTCTACACTGACTGGGTGGGTTCTAGTTCTGACTGGGCTACTTTTCCTCAGCCAAACCTGACAACACTGCCTGTGTGAATAAAGGTTATTGAAATCAGCTCACAGTGGAAGTGCCAGACCAGCAGTCCGGTCAGCAGAGCCACAGCGGCGGCCGCGAGCACCAGACCAACTCCGATCCACAGCTTCTTCCTGCGGCCCGGTTTCTTCTCCAGGTGCTTGGAGTCTGAGGCCGGCAAGAACTGGAGCGCCGTATCCCAGTCAGGGTCCTGTAGACGAAGAGAAAGACCGGAAGGGTGGGGGGGTTGTAAGAGTTTGTTCATTTGTCTCCTAAAGATAAACTCACCTTTGAATAGGGATGGGTATCATTAAGAATTTAACGGTACTACTGCTCTTATTGATACCACTTATTGATCCGGTACTTTAACGGTACTGTTATCGGTAAAAAAAAACAAAAACAAATGAAGAACAGAATTAACATTGCTTATTTTCTCATAGCATTGCTTAGCAAACAAACAAAGTACGTGCTCATAACAATCAGATGGCTATTGGTTACTTTTCATCATTAATCCATGTTTGTATAATTTAATTTACTGTGTGTGGGCTCCAGGCTGCAGCAGACAGAACACGCATGACACAACGCCGGATGAACGACGAGCTAGTCAGCTGAAGACTGTAAACTGTACATTTTTCCATCTGTGTGTAACAGACTTTCACTGGATGTTTCCAGACACTGCTCGTGTTTCCGCTCTTACACGCAAAAGACCGAACCACACTTCAAAACGCTTAGCTCTCTCTGCCATTGACACAAACAGCAGGGTCTGTGTGTGTGTCTCTGCGCTGCACGGTGCTCCAACATATGACACAAAGCTGCCCCCGCCCCACAGACAGACAGAGAGAGAGAGACAGAGAGAGAGAGAGACTATCGATACTCTGGTCTTTAAAAATGTAGCCCCAGGGCCTGTTTAATACTGGGTTTCGGTACCCATCCCTACCTTTGAACTGTGTTGACTGTGGAAACAACAGTGTTGGCTACAACATGCTGACACAGCACGTTCTCAGCAGCTTTCATTGGGATTACACTGAGTAAAAGGGACATTACCTCTGGAAAGACACTGTTCTAAATGGTTTTAAAACTTATTTTTTCAATACTGAGTGATCAGATGTTTCAAAGCCCTGTCAAATAAAAACAAAAACTTTCTACATGACTAGATACCACCATCAGCAAAATTTCACTTTGAACAAAACTTTACAAAACTACTGAGATTCCCATCAGCCTCAGCTGTACTTCGTGTTCGATGGCTAGCATGACGTTAGACGTTATTTGGACAAAGTTCTAGTGCGGCTGCTTTTGTTTAGACAACAATTAATATTAGAGAACTGAGGCATCTTTTGTTAAAGGTACAATACGCAGGATTTATCAGTTGCTGTTTGTAAACACACCATTCAGAGTTGGACCCTTCTCCTCGGCTCAACGAGTGAGAGAGAAGCAGGGAGCAGCAGTGGTGGCTGAGTGAATGGAGAGAGGGGGGCAGTGTTAGCAATTACAAAGCAGGGAATCAGGGAAATGCAATGTTATTTTATGATCGTTTCACAGCGGTTACAACACTCCCACAACACTACAAGAAGGAGCCGCACTGCCGGAGTTTGTGTGAATGCTTTTCGGTCAGACAGACACACAGACCTGCAGCTCTTTATACAGTACATGCATGACAAAGCAGAGGAGAGAGACCGCGACTCAAATGTAACCCAAGCCCCGCCTTTACACCCTGTGTGTACTTATTGGCTGGGGGCTACACACCCATTGCCCAAAGGGTGACGCCCTTAAACATCCTCTGTCTCTGCAGATAGATGAGACATTTCCACAGAGTAATAAGTGATGACTTAGAGGGGCTATCTTTTTATGAGTCTACACATTGTTTTTTAAGTAAATCTTGTATATTAAACCTTTAAATGAAAGATGAAGTATGTTTATATTTCTCTTTGCTTTGGCATCAGTACTGACACAGGTATGTTTCATATCACATTTCAGGCCCAGCCCTGGTGACGTGTGGTAAACCCAAACTGCAGACGTCAGATCCCTTCAGACTTATGTGAGGTGGCACACAGTCAGTCAGTGTTCAGGCTGCTCTGTGCGAACCTGTTGAACTGTGTCAAAGTGAAGCAGGGTGTTGCTGGACAGGAATGTCTTCACTACTGATACACGACATGTCAGCGTGTTGCGTCCTGCACCCTCTTTCAGACCTCTGATTCAGTGTCTTAAAGAAAGAGTAGATCCACACCCTGTTACTTTGTATAATATTAATGCTCTGCCTCCAAACTGTCAGAGAGTTTGTTTTAGAGACAGAGCTGTATGTCCTGTGTATCAACAAAAAGCTCCAGTGCTAAAATCTCCTTTTCACATTTCTATTTCTACACCTGTAAATGAGACAGACTTGGAGTTGTTGCAAAGGGATTTTTTTTTCCACTTTTGATGACGCTTACCCTGCTTCCAGTCTTTACGCTAAGCTAACGTATAAATGTCCTTAACCCAGGACTCATTTATACCTCATTCACCCCTTGCCATTTCATACTTCTTGGACAGATAACTATCTGATATTAAAACTAGAATTACCGCCTCATGGTTACGTCCCCGTTTATCCAGAGTCATATAAAATATTAACCAAATTTTGTCTTATTTACTATTTGAAGTCTTGAGTTACGGTCAAAGTGTTTTGTGAGGTCACATCTTGACCTTCGACCACCAAAATCTAAATCAGTTCTTCCTTGAGTGCAAGTGAACATTTGTACAAAATTTGAAGAGGTTCCGTCATAAAAAAGCAAATGTAGATGCACCCATTGGAAAAAAATAAAAGCTGATAGAAACCCAGCCAACTGTAATTGTTATGACAAGTTCATCTTTGTGTATTTTTGTCAGTTTCAGGTGCATTACCACCTCCCTCTGGAGTGGAGCAGGACCGTCCCTAAATTTACATGTAGCCCTCGAAAACCAAGACAGATGAGAGACAATTAAAAATCTTATATCCAGCTAAAAAGGTGTGATTTAATCTAGCATCAACCTCCGAGGCCAGAAAATGAAGCCAACACTTAAGTACCAAAAACTGCAGTTGCTCTAATGACCACTAGAGTCCGACTCCAACAGTGAGTCAATCCCTTATCATAGACTCCCATGTTAAAATGTCCAACTTTATAGAAATAAACATGTTGACAGCCTGGTACACAAAACAGTTTTGGTCTCTATAGCCAATTTTTATATAACTCACCCGTTTACATTTTATTGAGGCTTAAAGTTAGTATAATTGTATAATTGTATAATTGAGGGCATGGCCGCTTTAAGTGACAGGTGGGTGAGCGTATGCTTGCCACAAACTGGCAAGAACCGAAGTCTTGGCTCCATACATACCCACCTCTTTGCCCATTTTCGGATTAGCTGGGAGTTAGATGCAGAGTCAGATACTGCCAAGATGGTGATGGTGGAGCAGCTCACTCTGAGCCTGTGGGTGAGATCACAGAGGCTACATCTATCTTTATTTACAGTCTATGGATTTAATACAGTTATGCTTTCACTAAGCCTCATGAATAAATCTGATTACAGTCCTTCTTTGTTTTCTTGGCTTTGTGTAAATCAGGGTTGGCTCTCCTCCAGTCCAGGAGGAGGTGGTGATGCACATTAAGACATTTTCAGTGTACCAAATTATTAACTGATGAATCTGAGCTTCTGTGTGAGCATTTGCAAAAAACCCTGGAGTCACTTTTTTCCCATCACTGTGACACAACAGAGAGAACAATGGTGAGATTCAGTTTCAGTCTCTTCAGCTGCTGATATCAGAGGTTATTTCAGGAGGAGTGAAGAGCATGTACAGTCTTGGAGAGACGGATGCACGCGCCTTTTCAACTTCTGACTGGAATGAGCCTAAAACCTCCTGAAGTTGATTTCAAATTCATCTTGGTCACATGTACACTTCATCAGATACATATATATATATATATATATATATAGGATGTATTAACTCACATCTGTGACAGCTGTGGCTCAGCAGGTGGAGCAGTTAGTGGTTGAATCCATGTTTAATATTCCTGCGCAAAATTAACCGATGGTTCGGTTGCTTCTTGGTTGCATCTGGACTTTTTTGATATTGGATAATTGTATGGTCTTATTTCAGAAACATTAAGATAACACTGATCCCCATCTTTTCATATCTGGGTGAAAATGTGATGAAAATAAGATTCCCCATTCTGTACGAGTGTACCTTTAACTGGCTGAAAGAACATCATTGATTTAGGTGTGCAACTAAGAATTATTGTTATTTTTTGTCATTGGTATCAATTAATCTGACACAATTAAATAGTTTGGGGTAAATGTTTTGTCTGACCAATCCAAAGACATAATAATAAACAGAAGTGGAGAATATATTCAAATTTAAGAAGCTGGAGCCAGTTACTTTCCTGCATCATTGTTATTCATTTATTTATTTTTTTGTTTTATAAAATATTTAAAAAATTACTACATTATTAAAGCTGTTGCCAAATCATTCATGAATAAACTCAGTGAGAGGAAGTGAAAACTGTCAACAATATTGTAAAAATTAACAAGTAAAAGGTAAAGACTGTATTAGCTTTGTATTCAATTGTTGTTTTTAAGCATTATAAGTTTGTTTTATGTATGAAGTTTGATATGTTTAACTGGAATCCATCAGAAACCAGTCATAATAGTTATAATACATCATACAGACACAACTACAAATCTTACAACCACCATCAAAACCAGTGAAACCTGCTGTGGAAAGCAGTACAGACAATAGGAACAGAACAGTTTGTACTGAAAACCACTTTAAACCTATTAAAACTCACTCAGTCAGTCACATCATTGTTATTAAATTATTAACACTTTCAGTTATTTTAAAGAGAAACCATTTCTGCTTGGTTTCTGTTTTTAATCTCTGGTGATACTGAAAAACCTGTACGAGCTGTGACGTCACAGCGAGGTTGATACTACAGGTACTGGACTCACCTGTCTTGGACTGAACTTCTCTCCTGCATCGAGTAAATCCATGACGCAGTAAGTCCCCGCTGAAGGGTCCCGGTTGTCCTGTTTTTTTTTATTTCGTCTTCACAGTTTGTCGCCTGTTTTCTACCGGTGAGCTCTGCCGTCTGCTGCCATTACTGTCTCGCCGACATCATGGCGGCGACAGGTGAGGTACGACAGGTGTCTCTCTTAGGCAGGTAGAAGACGAAATGGAGCGAAGATAATGGTTTTGTAAAAATAAAACTTTGAGTTAAATGTTAGTTTACAGCTCTGAGTACCGTCGCTGTTACCGGACGGGATTTAAACGGGTTTTTACCGGGGGAATCAGACGGGATCTCGGTTCTGACGGAGACCAACTGATTCCAGCGACGGGAACGAGGAAACTGGCGACAAGGCCAGATCAAAGAGAAAGAGAGAGGGAGACAGAGGGTTTGATGAAAAGCGATTGGTTGGTGCAGCTAGATCAGAGACACCTGAGCCCGCCGACTTCCCATGATTCATTGCGCGAATGGCATCCTCACAGCTGGTCCCAAAAGGGTCCCGATCGATTTCTGAACAAAGGGAAACGGAACAAAAGTATGGAGTCTGTATGTGCCACCGGAACAATATATAGTATACACGTGTACAGTGTTCTACAAGCAAATAAATATTTGAAATTAGTGATAAAGTCATTGACTTATCCTGTGTTTAAATGACACATTAAAAGTAAGAATTTAAAATTTGATTAAATATTTATAAATCAAATTAAATACTATTAATTGAAACAGGGTTTAAAACCTACAGGGCTCCGTAAAAACCAAAGCTTTTTATGTTTTAAAACTATTTAAACTATTTAAAACCCTTTCCTGCGTGTCATTCCCCCTCTCTCTGCCTCCCCATTTCCTGTCTCTCTACTGTCCTGTCCATTAAAGGCACAAAATTTGCTATTTAAAACAAAAGCGAAAGTCCATCTAAAGCTGAAGGGAACGTCATTTATTTGGTTATAAAACAATGTATTGAACAAGTTAAAACTTTGACCTGATGAGAGCACCAAATTAAGTCACAAGCAACCAAACAAAGTCACTAAATATAGCCAAAATAGGCTTCTGTATAAGAACATAAATGCTTAAAATGTTACAACAAAATTATTAAGTATTAAAATTATATTTTAAATTGCAATAGAAAGAACAGCAAAAATGTCACACCCTGTTTTTCAAAACAATTACATTTGTAACTAGAAGAAAAGGTTAAAATCACATTAAAATTTTAACACTAAATTATGTTGGTCAAATCATAGCAAACAAGCATTTATCAGACATGAATGATAATGAGTCTAACCAGAAAATTAGTCAAGTTTCCCAATGTACTGTAGGTCAAGCAAAGAGAAGAGCAAGACAATCTCAAAGCAAACCAGAATTTCCCCCATAATTCATCAAAAAGCCCCTGAACTGTCCAGATAACTGAGCAACTACACAGCCAATGTTCCCCTTTCTTCCCTGGCACAACTTTGAAATACTTTACCTTGTGACTCATTTAGTATATAGTAGCCTATATGGTTCTTGGAAAGTTCACAGAACCTGTGTTACCAGAGCAAACATCTTGTTAATGTAGACAAGAGTTAATATAACGGTCGTAAAATCTGAATTCCCTCATCTATGAGTCTATATCTGACGCTCAAGTAGCACTTCAGCTCTGCTGCTGAGAAACTGGACCACATCCTGTAGCTCCTTGCAGGGTGACTTGCAGATTTATGGGGTTGGTGAGGTCAGGTCAGGCCACACAGTTTGAGTTACATACAGCTTTTTTTTTTTACAGTCATTAGGGTACTTTTTTTTTTAGAAAAAAAATTGCCACCAAATTTTATGGCATCATCCAGTAGTTGTTCAGATTCTCAGTCTGGACTAAAGTGATTGACCCACTGACATTGTGTGGCTTAAGATAACTTAGCAATACAAATATGTTAGCAATATGTTTTTGTATTATTTGTGTAAAGCTGATTGTTTGGGAGATTATGAAAGATTACAGCTGATTGTTTGGGAGATGAAGATCAGCTGATTGTTTGGGAGATGAAGATACAGCTGATTGTTTTGGGAGATTGAAGATCAGCTGATTGTTGCGTGAGAGTGGATGTTTGGGAGATGAAAGATACGTGATTGTTCGGAGATGAAGATACAGCTGATTGTTCGGGAGATGAAGATTCAGCTGATTGTTCGGGAGGTGAAGATTCAGCTGATTGTTTCAGCAAGTTAATCCATCTTTTCGGGAGATGAAGATTCAGCTGATTTGTTCGGGGAGGTGAGGATTCAGCTGATTGTTTGGGAGATGTTTCTTTAATTACCTCTTCTGCAACACAAAACATTCTTACCCATTCTCCACGATTTACATAGTTGTTGAGTTTTACAATTAGCTTGTCTTTTGCAGCTTTTCTCAATCTCTTTGTCACAAGATTTTCCGCCTCTTCCAAAATAATCATGTCAAAGAGAAGATTTTTGTCGAAACGATCAGCGCAGCGTTCCACCACGGTATTGATGACACTAAGGCACAACACAAGTCATAAACGAGGAGAAGAGGCAGCCAATAACCTGAAAAACAGCATCAAAAATCTGGTTTATCATAGCATGTCATGTATTTTAGTTGTTTTCTAGAAGATGAGAGATCAGGTTTCTCAGGTGAATATCTGTGTTAACAGGCTCTCTCAACCACTTGAGCTGATGTAGGAAAACCTGGTTGTCATCCAAAAACTGGAGAATAATCAACAATAACAACAATAACAAGATAAATTACTCACCCTTGACTTGTTTTTCAGCTCAGCGATGATTGTTTTTCTCCTCACTTTCGATTTGACCTTCGTCTTTGCGGCTAACTGTGGATGTTTGTTCATAGTAATCATTAAAACAGCAAATGTACCAGTCTCCATCAATCAACACAGATATAACCCACAGCAGACAACAAGAAGTGCTTTAAAAATCTGACAAAAAAAAATACAAATAAACTTCCGTTTACAATCTGCCAGCATGAATTTACAGGACCTCTCTGAAAGTTTTGTCCAGCCAGCAGGACTACGATAACAAAAAGAAATGCTGGCAGAATCATGTACAATGAGCATCAGTGAGTTGGTCCTTGCAGGTGCACGGCAAGTCCTTGTCAAATATGACATGGGAAGAACAAATTCGTAATGACTGCAATATAAATGCTGACTGTTTTACTGAACTGATTAAGAACTGAAGTCACTGCTTTTCTGAAGCTCTCCATGTTTGGTGGAAGGTTTCATACGAACAGCCTACAACATCTGAATATATACTGCGCCAACAGGAAACCAAGCCCTTCCTGTTTATTGCATAAAAGCTTTGCAGGCATGTTACTGTGACTGGAACATTCATAAAGAATGAAGCCGCAGCCTGTTCTGGTTCTGTTGTCTTTATTTAGTGGAATGCGAATATACACCTCTGTGCTTTTAATGCTGTTTTCTCCTTCACTCATTCACCACTCCTCACTCTCTCCGAGACTGAACATCACTGTCCTTCAGTTCACTGGACGAACAGCTGTTTGACTCCGAAGCACATGGTTATCATCTGAACAGATCATCTATTGTCTATTCACCCTCAGAATGAGACTAATGTGCTTTGTCATGTTTGTCCCATAAACACAGTTTGTTGTTCGTCATCAGACAGAAGTGAACCTTGACCTTTACGTTCTGCTGTTGTGTAACCACCACTTCAGATCAACAGCTGCTCGTCCACTTGAAACATCTCAAAATAAAAGCAACCTGACATTCGGTTTTAGCTACACATATTCATAAAATCAGTTTCACGTGATTCTTTTCATTGGTCTTAAGCAGTTGGTTCCAACCTGTGGGTCCAGATCCCTAAAATGGGCCAAAGACAGGGCCGCCATGAAATGATCAAGAGAGATAGACCAAAAACAAGATTTGTTTTTTAATATGTTGTAATTCCACGTTCTCTTTCATAATTTCCTCTAAAATATGTTTAAAAAATAACAAATTCTAAAGGCAAAGATTCAAATATCTTTGGTTCAGACACAGGTTGGAATTTGCTTCACGAGGTCACACGTTGACAAAGTTGGAATCACTGGTCTGGAGTACAGAATTTCTGGAGTAAACAAAGAACAACTATGAAAACCAGCATAAACAAACTGACTGCACATATAATGTAATTTATCTTTCCTTCAAGTGAATTTAGTGTAAAGTTGCTCTTTAAATCCCTGAGGCTGTGACAGACCACATCTGCTAAATGTCAAATCAGGAGTTTAACAAAAACAAGTTTCATTGATCCTGTTATGTGGAAACTTACTCTAAAATTATGACTGCAATAATCAATAGTCAATCCAAGATCATTATAAATATTATCTTAGCATCTTCATCATGTTGCTGTTCAGAATTTCTTCTTGCTGACCTCCATCCCGAATTTTATGCACTAGAATCTGATTGTAGATCAATAATTTTATAAAACAATGAGCCTCATTGATACAAGGATAACTAGATCAATAATAGGTGAAAATAGTCAATAGTTGAACCAAATATTCTCACACAATTATTTCTGGGAACAAAATGTTATTCAGATGTTTCTGCCGTTGTTTATGGCGACGTCAGAGATGTGAAGTGACAGAATCAGTAGAGGTGATGCATTGAAATCGTCCCTGCAGCAGAAACTGACTCCAGTAGATCAAAGTAAAAGTAGAGCCGTGGTTCCCAGCCGTTACCCACAAGCCCCCTGCACGATCAGAGTTTCAACCGACATTTGATTTAACGTTTTATTTTAATTCTGTTTGTCTCGTCACCCTGACAGAGTTTTAGAAAGAGTCTTGACCAGAAAAAATAAAAACAAGCGTTCAGGTATATCTGTGTCTGATGGAATTTAAGTACATTTATATGGAAGAACAAAGAGGATGTACATTATTAACTGGGTAATTTAATTTAATTTAAATAGTTTTAATAGTGTAAAATTCTTATTAGCAATAAGGAAGAATTTATTTTGATAATTTTCAGCCCATAAAATTCAGAGAATGTATCAACTTCTCAAGCCAAAATTACAATTATAAATGCCACTAATTACTGCATTAGCCTTGTTAAAAATCCTGACTCAAGCCCACTTTACTAGCTTTTTCGTTGGAGCTTTTCAACTGCATCCAAGTGACTGAAAGCTCTGCGGAAAAAAGCCTAGAAACTGAACCTCAAGTTGGGATAATTTCAAATGGACACTTCATGATCGAAGAGTTTGTAATATGTAGTAGTATGATTACTTTATGTATGTTAGTAATTTAGGTATATCTACTGTGAATAACGTGGTTACAAATACATTATTTTATGGTACTAATTAGTATTACTACAAAAAACATATAGTATTTGATTGCAAAAATAAAAAAAAGACATGAAAAACATAAACCTTTACATGGGATTTTTTCAATAATGTCAGCTGATAAATATTGAAGCTTTGGGCATGGAGGCCGCGCTTAGGAGCCACAGCTGCAAACAGAGTGAAAACATGAAGACAGCTGATGTATTTTTAGAAAATGTGACAAAGATTTTTAAAACAACAGACATTCAGATAGACATCCTCGAGGTGAAGAGACAGGCACGTTCAGTCTCGGCGCCTGCGCGTCGTGGCCCTCTCGTGTGTAGAACTGCCAGAGAAAACAGATAAAATTACCGCTAATAACGGTATCCATGCTATTTTGTGACCTGCTCATCATTACAAACACAACACCACTCATACAAACACACACAAACACCTGGCGGTTCACACACACACACACAACACACACACACCCCACGCACACAACACACACACTTATGCCATTCTGGCGAGGAACATGCCTGAATGATTTTTATTTTTATATCATCTGCTTTGTTTCTTCTCGCTTAATCTAACGTTTCACGTCTCGGCGTGCAAACACTCGTCTTTTTAAAAGTTTCAGTGGGGAAGGGGGGGGGGGGGGTCGGGGGGTCGGGGGAGATGAGGAAAACCAAACCAACGACTGACAGAGAGAACAAAAGAAAGAGTCGTCATGCAAAGACGGATGATGAGATATCTTTTTTACCCCATTGTTTTTATCTCAGTGTTGTTCTCTGATATGGTTGATAAGTCCTATGATCAGTAGTGCTACTTCTAACTGCTACGAGCTCATGCACAGTAGGAAACGCCAGTCAGATTCCCCGATGACCGTCATCTCCATTTTTTTTCTTTTTTTCTTATTTTTTTCTGGGTTTGGGGGATTTTGATGGAAGATGCCAGTGAAAGTTTATTGATACAAAATATGTTACAGTATGTACGTCTTGTCTCCCGCTGTGTCACTCACTCCACACTTTGCCTCTGGATGGTCGTGGAAATGCTTCGCCAAAACACTTACAGCTTCAGTCACATGTAGCTTGATGCCGCTTCTCTGTCATCCAATCATGTTCAACACATCTTTGCCATCATGTCCTGACTTATTAAATATTATGTAATTTCCATTGGCTGGTTGAGAAATAGCACAAAAT